TTTTTTTAAATCAACACAAGAGGCGAAGGAGGGCATTTTGTGGGATCGCCTTCATTTTAAAAAATCAACCTATTTGAAATATTAAAATTAGCTATGGAGGAAACAGATTAGTGGACAGAGCAGAGGAGCTATTCAAAGGTGAATGATAAATTCATTTTATCACATGGTATCACCTCCATATGTGGAATTTTATGAAAGTTGTGGGTGATGGAGGAAAGGAGTTAAAAAGAACCCTAGCTCTTATCTGCTGGTATGAAAATACCTAGATCCAAGAGCACAATAATCAATCATTTCCATAGCAACTTTAATACAAGGATTTCAAACTACTTTATAAGCATTAATAAGCCTCACCACATTGTTATACTCATTTTACTACTGGACAAGTTCCATTCTTTGTGCCTCAATTTAAACACAGTCAAAGTGCTTTAGGGTGTAAGAGGCAGAATTAGAACAGAGGATAGTCATGATTCCACTCCACTGTTCCAGCTACTAAACACTCCCATTTTAACCAGGAATCTGGCCACAGGTTTCACAGGTGATAGATGACACTTAAGGCTAGCTACAGTCAGTCTCTTTCAGGTCAGAGCCACATCCTCACAGAGATGAGCATCACAAGATAGTGAAGAAAGTGCTGTTATTCTTCAGAAGTAGGGTGACCAGACAGCAAATGCGAAAAATCGGGACAGGGGGTAATAGGAGCCTATATAAGAAAGAATCAAAATTCGGGACTGTCCGTATAAAATCGGGACATCTGGTCACTCTATTCAGAAGTGAAGCAATGAATAGTAGGAGAAGAAAACAGAGCATACATTGTTAAATACTGTTGAGCAAAGTAATTTACCTGCAAACAATGACAAATAATCCTCTGAAACAGTGCAAAGACAGAATGTAGGAAAATAATGCCCCTGAACAAGCAGAGTACAGATTAGAAAAGCATTCTGTAACCATCATATAAGAGACAGCAGCTAAGCAGATAGATACTAGCAAACACTGCCACACATCACAGTGGAAAGCAATGGGGAAAGAGGTGTAATTCACAGCTGGAAAAAGTGTAAACAAGCTCCTCAATTTATCTACAGAGGAGCATCTACAAATACTTATTAGTCAGGGTCCAGCTCAGGCAAGGTGTTAGTAAAGCAGCAGGGCTGAGATGTTACCCACAAGTTGACTGTGCCTTTGAATCTCTTAGCACCTGACACCTCAAAGACTCAATCACATTCTGAAACTCTCCTTTCCCTCACCAGCCCCTGAAGTCTTGAATTGTGATTAATCTTCATTTATTAATTAATGCATGCACAGTGCCATACAAGTGCTGAATATAATTTAAGGAGTCAAACAGCAAAGAGTAGAAGATGAGAGTTTACAGAGTGAAGGTGTTGGCACTTGGATGTCGCAGGAGGACTTTCCAACTAGACAAGAAGTTTCAGGATTTTTTTTTTCCAGAATAATTCCCATCAGAAGAAGGTAAGTATATTTTTAACCTCTATGTCAAGGGCCAACTAAATGTATCACCCCATTGTGAAACTGACAGAACAGCAGAATGCAGACAGCTGTGAGACAGGTGATGGTTTACTTTGTGAATCAATCCTTTATTTTGCTATTCAATGTCATATCAGATGTTAGATATTATTTTCTGAATATCTGTCCTGGAAATATCACAAGACCAGGTATCACAGAGAGGACTTCACAGATGCTTAGCACTGGGAATTCAGCAATAAATAAGGCTGATAAAGTTTCAAATGAATGGATAACCTGTGCACGTGTCCTCAGCCTGCAGCAGACAGAGCCAGCCTCAGAAGACAAGAGGAAGGTGGGCAGAGAGCCTGCTGACAGACCTTGCTCCAATTTTATTCCAGAATTTTCACCAGCTAATATGCACAAGAATATTCACCACATGTGAAAAAGAATCAAAGTGTATGAGTAGTTTGGTGTGAATGAGGAATCAGAGAAGCTCTAAAATGGTCAGTGATACTCTGGAACTTACAAAAATGGCTAGTGCAGACCATTTATATGCCAGAAAACTCCACATCAAACGCCACTGATCCTCTCCAACCAAACACTAACTTGACTTGGTGGGGAAGGAGAAAATTTGAGATAGCATACAAGTTCTGGGTACTAAAATGCATAAGGGTTGTGGTGAATATGGAGTATTCTACATTGGCAGCTCAGACATTGTAAGGAGCTTTTTTAAAAATATATTTTAATTCAAAGCACCTGGCAAAGACTTCATACGTATATAGGGGCACGTGTACATATTCACAACTAATAGATGCTGTTTTTAGCACCTATTAGAGTTGTGAATATGTACACATCTCTGGCAGTTGACCTAAAGATAACACAGCCATAGTAGTTAACTGGAGTGGCGTGAATAAAGGGAATGGAAACCTCTGCTGGGATACTTGCACAAAGGCTTCTGTTCTGCATACAAGGAAAGTTAAACTAGTCATAGAAATTAGACATGAAGGAAATGGAAGATTAAATTATCTAGTCTATTCTTTGCACCAGCACACGCAGAATGGATCCATATAGTTAGGGCAATTTCATGACCATAGGATTTGAAAGTTAGTCAATTTCACATTTTCAGATGTTTATATCTGAAATGTCAGTGTTGTAATCATGGGGGGTACAGACCCAAAAGAGGGTGGGAGTTGGGGGGTGTTGCAAAGCTGTTGTAGAGGGGGTCACGGGATTGTCACCCTCACTTCTGTGAGCCCAGCTGTGGAGCTTCCTGCAGCAGGTGGAGGTACCCGGAGGTGGGTCTCATCTCCCCCCAAGAGCAACTGTGTAGGGCAGGGGTAGACAACCTATGGCACGCGTGCCGAAGGCGGCACACAAGATTATTTTCAGTGGCACTCACACTGCCCGGGTCTTGGCCACCGGTCCGGGGGGCTCTGCATTTTAATTTAATTTTAAATGAAGCTTCTTAAACTTTTTAAAAACTTTATTTACTTTACATACAACAATAGTTTGGTTATATATTATAGACTTACAAAAAGAGACCTTCTAAAAACATTAAAATGTATGACTGGCATGCAAAACCTTAAATTAGAGTGAATAAATGAAGACTTGGCACACCACTTCTGAAAGGTTGCCGACCCCGGTGTAGGGGATGAGGAAGTCCCGTGCCTCCCCAGCCCGGGGACTAGCAGCTGGAGCCTGGGGAACAGTAGGATACCCCAGCTTGAGTGTCCCCAGCCCTGCTCCTCCCTCTCCCCTCCAATAGCTAGATTTCATGGGGGAGGGCTTATTTCATGGTCCATGACACATTTTTCACGGCCGTGAATTTAGTAAGGCCCTACATATAGTATAGCTTCCAGCACTGTGTAGTTATAAGTGAGTTGAACAATGGGACTTTTATTACTTGGAGAGACTATTCCACATATTAAAAATCTCACCATAAGGAATATTTTCTGATATTTATCTTAAATTTCCTATTTCTGAATTTCATCTCCTTACTCCTACTTATACCTCTTGGACCACTTAAACATTTTCTCCCTCTCCTTGATATTTACAAATATCATCAGGGAGGAAAGATGGCTTTGTGGCTAAGGTTATAACTTGGGACTCCAGAGGCCTGGGTTCAATTCCTGCTCTGCCACAGAAATCCTATATGACTTTAAACAAGTCCCTTAGTTCTCCATCTGTAAAAGAGGGCTAACAGTACTTCTCTACCCACAGTGGTGGTGTAAGAATAAATATATCAATAACTATGAGGCACTCAATGACAAGGGTGACAGAAATACCTTACATAAAAGTATCTGTGAAATGCACATATCCTTCTTTCCCTATGCCTCCAAAATGTAATTCTCCAAGATGCTCAGCCACTTTACCACAATCTGCCTACAGCCAACAATTGTACTGATCTGCTCAGCTGAGTCACTGACACACACACACCTGCATGAGAATGCTAAGGTCAGAGCAAGTATCTGGTATTATGGACACTAACAATCTGTGGCAAACAGGCAGCATCATCTATTGGACTGAACTGGGAACTGAGTCAATACTCCTTGATTATATTCCTGTCTCAGCTCAACTCATTCCATGACCTTATATAAGTCACAACCTCTCTATGACTCTGTTTTCCCCTTGTAAAACACATATAACATCTATCTTACAGGGATGAGCTTGTGTAATTAACGTACATAAAACATTTTGCTTTTAACTACCACCTTTCATCCAAAGATTTCCAAGTATATTTATAGATCTGGACATATGTAGGGTCAGCAGAATTCATGAATCTCTCACTTCAATGAATTTAGCTATGGTTGAGCAGGAAGCTACAAATTTGCACTATGCTTTTATCAGAAACTTGTCTTAACTTGCAAGAGCAGGGGAATAAAATTGAACTCTGCAGGAATTTAAATCATCATTGTGTGTTGAGAAAGCAGGGAGAACAAAGTAAAATGAAATTACTTACAGTGGAATTTGGCCAGCTACTGAAGTAAGCACCCCTGCTCTTGTGGAAAGTACCATGGGATCTTTAATGAACAGGTGGTCTGGACCTCAGTTTTTCTTTTCACAGTATTTACGCAGTCCATGCTCGGGAGACCCTGACCCTTGTGGGCACTGAAGATCCCATAACATCTTTCACAAGAGCATGAATGTTAACATAACATGCCAGAGAAATTCCAGTGTGGGTAACTAAATTCTGCCTACTCAAGCGTTCTTCTACAATTGCAATCATATGCAGTGTTCTTAAATTCCTGACCTAAACTACACTGTAGTACTGTTAAACAGCTGCTCTTCAGCAGATTTAGTTGTGCCAGAAATGGACAAAAAATTATCTTTGCATATTCAGTATTTAAGTATTCTGAGCATTTTATAAATGTCAGTTATTGTATTTTTAGTGCAAAAAATCAGCGAGCTGAATGAACTGAACTTTAATAATATGAGAATATGCAGAATGCTTCTACTCCCAACCACACTTCACACACATACACAGGCAGTGGACACATATGAACTCATGTATAGATTTAAATGCTATATTCAGGCTATTTTACCTGTCTCTGCATCTCCTCAATCTGCCGCTGAGGAATGCTTTGCAGAATGCTGTACATTTCAGGCATCTTTTCTTCAGGTATCACAACAGAAGCTCTAAATGCAAAACAGTGAGGGGGGAAAAGTATAAAAATGCCACATGAGAACATACCAATAGTCCATCTAAACTGGTATCATAACGTGCTACGCTCTAGAGGTTTCAGAGGAAGGCATAAGCCCCTGTAATGCAATTATTCATTCAATACTAGATCATTGGGGAATTTCTTCTTGACCCCAGCTGCTCAACCTAAGGGAAATGCCCAAAAACTCCGAAGGGTGCATTTGCAGAAGAGCAGCTGCAAGTGGCTACATAGAGGAGTGTGGTCTAATGAATTAAGTATGGACTGAGAGCCAAGAATTCCTGTGTTCTAATTCCAGCTCTGTCAATGACTTGGTGTAATTCTGAATAAATCATTTAGGGGAAAAGAGTGTTAAGTATGTAAACTTGTATGCACACAAAATGGGCATTTTGCATGCATACAAAATCTCTGCCGTGACTCAGTCACTCACACCTGTAAAATGGGGATACTTCTTTCCCTCACAGGGGTTTGGGAGGTGTAAACTACTAGAAGTAAATTTAAACAGCTTGGGTGCAAATACAAGTGTGAAAAGACCAATAATTTTTGTTCTATAGATTAATATCCTGAGCTGCAAGAATCAGGAAATCCAATACCAAGAATTGGACAAGTATCAGAGGGGTAGCCGTGTTAGTCTGGATCTGTAAAAAGCAACAGAGAGTCTTGTGGCACCTTTAAGACTAACAGATTTATTGGAGCATAAGCTTTCGTGGGCTTATGCTCCAATACATCTGTTAGTATTAAAGGTGCCACAGGACTCAAGAATTGGACAGTCTGTGCTGCTCTCCACCCTCGTTTTGTCTCCTCTCATTTTCCTGTTCCATTACTTCCTATGCTTGGATGCATCCATAGGGTGGACTTCAACTGCCCTGTTGTCAGCATTCTCAATGCAGCCCCCTGCATATTCTGTTCCTTCACTTCTAGATTGTGAGGTTTCAAGTGGTTTGAATTTATTGCACATCACCAAGTGGCATGCATACCTTACACAGGTATGGAGGGTGCAAACCAATAAATACGAACCTCTTCCAGTCCAGAACTTCAGAGAAAGGCAAAATATAGGAGTCAGCAATAACAATAGGGACACAGCCAGCCTGAAGTACATCACTTAGCACAGCTTGTCCCAGGCGAGCACCACGCAGAACGATGCAGAATGTGGCTTCCTGTCAGTGAATAGCAACCACAAACAAAGATGAAAAAAGGAACAAATATTACATCCCTATAATTTATATATTCATTCCCCTCTGAACACAGAGGTTAAAGGAAAACAGCACTCAAGTTTGCTCTCTGCCATCATTCTGAGTGATATTCAGACTCAAAATAAATGTGCAACTTTATTCTGCACTGGCCACTGGGTGTAAGGTGAAAAATGAGGACAGAATGAACTAACAGGGCTTTTCCATATTGTGTTTTAGTGATCCCATGTCAGAAGTTTAATCCATCAGGAAAGACAAAAGAATGCCAAACCCTTTACAAATTTAACATCTTAATGGCTGACTATGATCATGATTAAGGCTATGATTATGTCACGGAGGTCACAGAAGTCACGGAATCCATGACTTCCAGAGACCTCCATGATATTGGGGCACCGCAGCAGCCCAGCCACCGCCGGCAGTGGGTTCCCCCCCAGGCCTTCAGGGCAGTGGTGGATCCCCCCACAGCTCCCAACCACTGGGTGGGGCGGGGAGCCACAATTCCCAGCTACTGTATGCAGCGGGGCAGGTTGCGGAACCCTCCTCCCTCCCCATTTTGTCAGGGATGTTTTTAGTAAAAGTCAGGGACAGGTCACAGCTTCGGTGAATTTTTGTTTATTGCCCGTGACCTGTCCCTGACTTTTACTAAAAATATCCATGACAAAATTGAAGCCTTAATCATGATTATTCAACTGATACAATATATAAATGCTCTGGAATGTCAGTGGAGACACTCTGAGAAACAATTTTCCCTGTGTTGATATATGCATTAGAAAGAAAAAAAAAAAAAGTACTATATAACACTGTTCAAAAATAACTGATGTTTGTTAAACGCTAGGGAACTGGTTCAGGGACTGTAGTGGGTCAAAGATTTTTCATCTCTAGGTCATTGGTTCAAAGCTAGCTCAGGATGTTAGTAAGTTACTATCTGATGTCTGTTCTATGGCCTATGTACAAAGAGTTTTCTAGTTACAATCCAGTTTCCAGAAGACAGTATCCACAGAAACCACCATTCCTATTGGCATTGACAACTTGGTTGGCAACAAAAGCAGAGAAACTGAGAACCAAGTAGGACATGAAGGCGAAATATTCTTTCACCTTATAGGTGGCCTTTGCAGGGCAGGGATGAGGTACAGTGGCTAGGCAGCATTGGTCAAGCTTGCGCTGCTGATGATGTATTAGTACTGCACTAACAGGACTTTGCTCCCCAGGGCTATCAGTCTGGCTTTCTCCAGCACCAAAAAAGGTCACTCAAAAATTGTTTATAGATTTATTTATTAAGAAAGGATCTAGTGAATCTATTATCCAAGAGCCCAAGAAAAGAGAAGGAACACAGTATGTGAGGAGGAATATAGACTTTAAGGCCAGAAGAAACCATCATGATCGTCTAGTCTGGCCTCTTGCACATCACAGGACACAGAACCTCACTCATCCACTCCTGTAATAGGCTCATAACCTCGGGCTGAGCTACTGAAGTCCTCAAATCTTGATTAAAGGCTTCAAGTTACAGAGAGTCCACCACTTACTCTAATTCAAACCAGCAGTTGACCTGTGCCCCACATTGCAGAGGAAGGCAAAAAACCCAGGGTCTCTGTCAATCTGACCTAGGGGGAAATTATTTTCCAACACCAAATATGCCAATCAGTTAGACCATGAGCATGTGGGCAAGGCCCACCCACCAGACACATAGGAAAGAATTCTCTGTATTAATTCAGAGCCTTCTCCATCTAGTGTCATATCTCTCCCATTGGAGATATTTGCTAACAGTTGTCGTGGATGGGCCATGAGCCACTGTAGGCAACTTCATCATACCATCCCCTCCATAAACTTATCAAGCACAGTCTTGAAACAAGTTGTTTTTTGCTCCCACAACTAGCCTTGCAAGGCTGGTCCAGAACTTCACTCTTCTGATGGTTAGAAACCTTTGTCTAATTTCGAGCTTGAACTGGTTGGTTGCCAGCTTATATCCATTTGTTCTTGTGTCAACATTGATCCTTAACTTCAGTAACTCCTCTCCCTCCCTGGTGTTCATCCCTCTCTTGTATTTATAGAGTGCAATCATATCTCCCTTCAGCCTCCATTTTGTTAGGCTGAACGAACCAAGCTCCTTAAGACTCCTCTTGTAAGGTAGGTTCTCCATTCCTCTGTGATCCTAGTAGTCCTCCTCTGCACCTGTTCCAGTTTGAAGTAATCTTTCTTGAACATGGGTGACCAGAAATGCACACAGTATTCCAGATGAGGTCTCACCAGTGCCTTGTACAATGGTACAATATTCATATGAGACTATCTATTCAGGGCATCCAATTTGCTTTCTGAAGGGGGAAGTTAAATATGAGAACTAGGAATTAAAAGTCTTTGCTGTCCCCTCACTTGCTTCCCAACAAAGCTGTGAAACCTATGTTCATATCAGAACACTGCTGAGCAGTCCTAAAATCTCAGCCAAGAGAAGATTGTAAAACAGGATGCATTAGCAATCCAGCAGTCCAGGAGTCTGTTTAATAAAAGCAACAGTAAAGGGAGTGCAGGAAAGGTTGTGCTGGGATCAAATCTCAGACTGCTTTGGGGAGGATGGAGGAAAAAGGAGCAAAACACATTTTAAACACCTACTCGATAGATCACAGGGCAGCAGGTGGAAGACTTTGGGTAGGTCTGGGGGAATAAGAAAAGAGCCCCAGATGTGGACACACATGCTCATCTGCCCAGATAACCATTTTTCCTGTCTAGACAAAAGTTACTATAAATATATCTCCTCATATCATTGCTGTTATCAGCCAGACATTCCAAAGGGAGATGCAGGGCTCTGCAAAGGAAACTATTTTAACAATCTCTGCATGTGCCAGCTCTCGAGTTAAAAATTATATATATATCTATCCCCTCTCCTGCTATCCTTGAATGATACAGTCTTCATTAAAGAAGCAAAGTGAAGAGAAATTTTTTTTTTTCTGGATGAAGGTTTACAACTCAGAACAACCCTTCCCTTCCTCTCACCCTCCTCCACTTGGAATTTTAAACATCTTTCCTACAAAATGTAACAGAACTGGAGGAAAAACAACAAATGCACAGCAGAAAAACAAATTTATCATAATTTGTTGAAGTTCAATGATGGATTACATGCTGGTGGCCAGAGATGGAATGCAGTGGAATATTCCCCAACTGGCCAAAGGTATAGCTGGCTTCACCACACTGCATGCTAAAGTACTTCTACTCTGTATTGGGGGCTTGCCAGAAGACACAGAAGTCTGAGAAAGCTTATCTGGTTTTATTTTCATATCATTGACACATCAAAAGCCCTCTGGAAGTTGGGCCAAGGCCATCAAATACATTTCACCTAGATGTTTCCATAGTTGCATGCTGTCAAATCTTCTATCTCAGTTTGTCATGGGTACACAGGGCACTGTGTGGAATTGTTTTTCAAACACTAAACTGCATACCCCTTTAATCCCTGTATATCCCTTCAAGTTCATAACACACTTTTAGTCCTTCGAGTTCAATGAGGATAACTGTAAATTAGAATATAATTTACTTTTAGGATACTGTTTAATGCAATAGACTTTTCATTTTCAAATTCTTCCAGCAATTTCACTGAAAATTAAGGAAGCGTGCTATCTAAACTAAACAAAAACGCTTTGCTAAGTTAAGCATCATTGGGTCTGTGGGGCTATGCAGGTTAAGCAGCCTTACCTGAAGCACCTGAGGGTAATCAAAGACCTGGTTCTTGTGACAACGTTTACGAACAGAAGGAACTCCCTCTGACAGATTTGTGCACTTGTCCAGGATCAGCACAGACTCTCCGTTCTCAGCTTGAAGAGCCTCCAAGTCAGAACGGTATTCCGGGTGAAGAGCCATTTGGGATGACAGGATGAAGTACCTACGAGGACTGAAAAGTGGAACCAAGGTGACCTGACATTTCCAGGAGTTTGCTCTCTAAAGAGTCTGGAACTCATTTCCTTCTATCTGGGCCCAGCAGAGTCCAGATTTACTTATCTGATGGACACACCGCAAAACTCAGCTTCTTTCCCTCCAACGTTTGGGGACAGAACAGGATGAGAGTTGGAAGGAGTTATTAACTAACTGATATCACATAATTAAGATTTGGCCAGATCTAATTATTATTGTATGGATAACAAGAAGTAGAGATAAGCTCCTCAAAGCGACGTACAGATTATTGTAAATTTTAAGTCTTGAAAAGGGTGCCCAAAAGCTTGAGATGGGCAACTCTTCATCTGTTTCATAAACTGAAACAAAAATAACTTTGCAACATACTGAGAAAGCCTCTGATGCAAGACTATTGCAGTATGTGTTCACTTGGTTATATTTTACATGATGTTAGTGTTTTATTGTAAAGCACCCAGAACACTTTGGATGACTGATGCTACGTTCTTCTGCTTGTAGATATTTTAGTTAATTTTATATGGATGAAAGGTGCTGACAGCCCTGGCACCCTATGTTGATCTACAGAATAGATACAGTAAGGGCAGTAGTTAGCTAAGTTCTCCTCACTGACTCAACCTTGTGCCTGTGTGTTATCCTGGAAGGACCACTTATAGGACAGAGGTCTGAGTTTAGCATCATAGCCCCATTCAGCCATTGACCTCTGCTGAGATTAACAAATTTATATTTATAATGTAAATTGCTAACGTGCTAGATAACTTATTTTAATATCAACATATTCAAAAATGTATTTTAACAGCTCAGGTCAAAACGCAGGGATATAGTCTCAAGTTAGCTGTTCATGTCTTTAAGCTGTGCAGCTCGTTCATGCTGGAGTACAGCACACTGCACCGAAAACACAGTCCTAAAATTTCTCCACTATGCCTGATGCAAGGAAATACACAGATACACAGTATGTGCCCCCCCACACACAAACACACACACACACGCTGCCAAGAAAACTCAGGAAATATGAGGCCTCTATTTAAGATTCCAATTTCCCTTCACTTGATGGCTGGCTTTTTTTTTTTTTTTTTTTTTATTAAATATACAGCTCTGAAGCACACACATTATAAAGCTGAACTCTGCCCTACCCACCCTCCTTACCATCTCCACACCAGCAGTTTTGGCTGCTCCAATTAGACAGTTGAGTTACATGGACTTTTTTCTTTGTAATGCTATTTTTGTAACTCGCAGAGGCTTGCTGGAATATTTACTCCTGGCATCACTGAATTTATAACTCTGTTTTAGGCAACTAAACTATAAAGAAACTAAATCACAAATTCTAAATCCAGCTCTCTAAAGGAAACAAAAATAAAATTTACCTTACAAGCCAGCACAGCTGTTGGTAAGTGCTAATAATGGCAATGGCCAGCCAGAAGTTGCACAAGGTTGTTCATTTTTATGCTTTAATGGTTTAAGACCAAAAATTCTGGCATAACACTGTCAACATCCCATGACACCAAAACCCTGTGATCCAAGTCTTGCTATAAATGGATGTAAAATCCTGACATATACCAAGCCTGACAGTTTAGAATAATGATATATAATTGTATCTACCGACCTACGATTGAATTTTGACCAGCTCTCTTTTGTCATTTTTTCCCCACTCCCACCACAAAAGAAAAATAGAACTCATGGTGACCAATTGTTTTTAAAATTACATCAATGATTGGCCACCAGATGGCGCTCTACCCAAGCTGTAGCCCACCAACTCTGCCAATAATCAGTGTGCAATGATACATGGTGGTTGCAAAATATTCACTAAATCAGTGACTGAGGCACTTGCTCCCGATACACATCTGTTCTCTCATGCACTGCAACTAGCCATGCCACCTGGCTGATCATGTGGGACATGAACTATGAAGAAGTCTGTACTAAAGAGAGAAACCATAGATGCTGAAATTCAAAATAATTCAGGTTTACAGCCCTCAAAAGACAAAGCAAAAACACTGACATCATCAGCAGAAGAGATTACTGACATATAAGGTAAACTTCTGATCTGAAGTTGACAGCATCCCTTTAACCACTAGGGTGCTGCCTCAAGTACCCAGGGTACACAGGTTAACACTGTGTTAACACATTGTTAGCACTGCACTATGTAGCAGATATTTCATATGTGAAGGGACAACTTTTGACAGGGAGTGATCATCACACAAAGGACTGAAAGTTTCTGGGTCATATTCATGGCTCCGTATCGGTTTTGCTGTGACATGTGAACAAGTCACTTAAGCTTACTGCCTCAGTTTACTCATCTGTTAAATAGGAATAGTGACAGGCAAGTAAGGCCTCATTGTCGAGTGCTTTCGGCTGCTCAGATAAAAAGGTATTATGAACACAATATTTTTTTAAAAATCATAGATTAATAGATTTTAGGCCAAAAAGGACAGTTAAATCATCTAGTCTGACCTTCTGTATATTACAGGCCAGAGGATTTCATCCAGTTACTCCTGTAATTAGCCCAATTTGTATTAGACTAAAATATATCTTCCAAAAAGGCAACCAGTCTTAATTTGGAGACATCAAGAGATGAAGAATCCATCACTTTCCTTGGTTGTTTGTTCCAACAGGTTAATGCCCTCACTTAAAAATGTGTGTTTTATTTCTAATTTTAAACTGTCTGGCTTTAACTTCCAACCATTGGTTCTTGTTATGCCTTTCTCCACTAGATAAGGAGCCATTAGTATCCAGTATTTTCTCCTCATGAAAGTACCCAAATACTAATCAACTCTCTTGCTGATCTACTAAACAGATTGAGCTCTTTAGATAAGTCACTTTTTCTAGCCTTCTAATTATTTGCATCTTTTATGCACCCTCACCAAGTTTTCAACATCTTTTTAAAATGTGGGCCACCAGAATTGGACACTGTATTCCAATGATCAGTCTCAACAATGCCATATACAGAGGTAAAATCCCTCCCTATTCCTACTCACTATTCCCCCTTTACACACCCAAGGCTGCATTTCCCCTCCTTTTCTGCCATAGCATTGCAATGAAAGCTTATGTTGAATTGTTTCCACTAAATCCTGTTCAGAGTCACCGCTTTCCAAGATATAGTCCCCCATTCTGTATGTATGGCATACATTCTTTGTTCCTAGATGTATAACCTCGCATTTGGCTGTATGAAAACATTTTTTTTTTTTTTGAGTGGGCCCAGTTTACCAGGCAATCCATATTTCTCTGAATAACTGCCCCACCCTTATTATTTACCATTTCTCCAGTCTTCATGTCGCCTGAAAATTTTATCAACAATGATTATATATTTTGAATCCCAGCACAACTCCACTAGAAACATGCCCATTTGAAGATGACCACCACTGCAATCTCTGGAGCGGGGCCAGCCAAAAGGCACTATGCTTCATTCCATGTATCACCTACATAAGTCTCAGCCAGCTATCGGTGAGGGAACATGACTATATTCTAACAGCAATCCCCCCCACCATTCCCCAACACATAAGAATGGCCATACTGGGTCAGACCAAAGGTCCATCTAGCCCAGTATCCTGTCTTCCGACAGTGGCCAATGCCAGGTACCCCAGAGGGAATGAACACAACAGGTAATCCTCAAGTGATCCATTCCCTGTTGCTCATTCCCAGCTTCTGGCAAACAGAGGCTAGGGACACCATCCCTGCCCATCCTGGCTAATAGCCATTGATGGACCTATCATCCACGAATTTATCTAGTTCTTTTTTTAATCCTGTTATAGTCTTGGCCTTCACAACATCCTCTGGCAAAGAGTTCCACAGGTTGACACTGCGTTGTGTGAAAAAATACTTTTGGGGTTTTTTTAAACCTACTGCCTATTAATTTCATTTGTTGACCCCTAGTTTTGTATTATGAGGAGTAGTTAATAACACTTCCTTATTTACTTTCTCCACACCAGTCATGATTTTATAGACCTCTATCATATCTCCCGTTGACGTCTCTTTTCCAAGCTGAAAAGTGCCAGTCTTATTCATCTCTCCTCATACAGAAGCCGTTCCATACCCCTAATCATTTTTGTTGCCCTTTTTTGAACCTTTTCCAATATATCTTTTTTGTGATGGGGCAACCACACCTGCACGCAGTATTCAAGGTGTGAGCGTACCATGGATTTATACACACAAACCTACAACATTTCCGTTATCACCATTTCTTTCAAACCTGCCCAGCACTATAAGCAAGTCTGAAGTTATATCTCGATGCTAACACCACACATTTAACAAGTTAGTGAATGCAACCAGTCCAATTCACCAGGATCAGCTTACCCTGGTCCCCTCTCTGGCAGCTCCACCTCTGCAGACAGAGGGCTGTAAACAGGAATACTGACATCGTAGCCTTGCCGATAGGTCCATGTGGAGAAGCCTCCTCCAGCCAACAGGGCTCTGAAAGTGTAAGGAAATGAAAAGATTGTGAATGGAGCACATAGGATATTACATTTAAATTCCGGGTCATGATACTTTATCATCATTCCTAGCATATGAGCAGGCTTTTCTGCTTTGAGGTGTCAGTGTCTGTAGCACTTTTATCAGTGGCTTTCCCATGAAGTTTTACCTTTATTTTAACTTACCACAGCTGCAGTACAAAACAAAAGGGAACTGTGAACATTTCTTTAACATGCAGTTATACTGGCTCAGAACTAAGATATCAAACTCCCACAAAGGACCAGCCTGCTTTGGATGCCCCAGAATAGCTTTGATAATTCAAGAGGTGGTACTCTTCTCTTTGAATCTTTACTGAACCAGTGTCTCCACTGTTTTTTGGAGCATAGTGCTGGTAGAGGTGGTGTATTTTGGATGAGATGGTCCTGATCACTTGTAGTCACTAATGATCCTGTTGTCATAGCTAAATTTCAGTTTGAGTAATTACATCCTAAATTAATTCTATCAGTTTAGCTCAACACCAAATTCTTCAGTTCCTGCCCTACTTTTTGTCTAACGTTGCTCTGAACTGTTAGAGGCAAGCTGCGTTTCAGTTATAGGTGCAGTGATTTTGTATTTCTTAAAACACAAAGATTTTTCAGGATTGAAGGCACTACAGAATTGTTAACTATTATATTTCAGAATTCACCACGTAAAATAGTCAGTTTACTTAGATTTTACATTAAGGAAAATGCTATAAATGGCAAACACACTGACAGAGGATAAACCATATGCTCTGAAATAAACCTCAGAGCAAATGAAGCTTGTAGTACTGTCTACTGAGAAACAGAAGAGTAATAAAAGATGGTTATCATAGAACAATAAAAATGTATGGCTGGAAAGGATCTTGAGAGGTCATCTAGTCCAACCCCCCGTGCTGAGGGAAGACCAAGTATGCCTAAATCATTCCCGACAAGTGTTTGTAGAATCCCCATCACTGAAGATTTTTAAGAATAGGTTAGAAAACCTCCTTATATGTAGAGCCCTGCAAATCTGCAGATATCCGCTTTATAGCCATGGATATCCGCAGACCATGTTTGCAGATGGATGCAGATCCAAATTTTACACCTCCACCCCGATATAACGCTGTCCTCGGGAGCCAAAAAAACTTATCGCATTATAGGTGAAACCGCGTTATATCGAACTTGCTTTGATCCGCCGGAGCGCGCAGCCCCACCCCCCCGGAGTGCTGCTTTACCGCGTTATAGCCGAATTCGTGTTATATCAGGTCGCGTTATATCGGGGTAGAGGTGTATATCTAGAGAAGTGGTTCCCAAACTGGGGTTCGTGAACCCCTGGGGGTTCACAAAATGTTACAGGGGATTCTCGGGAAAAAATTCCCTAATGGTGGACAGAGCTGTCCCTAGGGACCCCGGGCAGCACGGGGCCAGCAGCCCGGAGCACCTGGACTTCCAAGAGCTAAGCAGATCAAAGCAAGCATATCTATCACACTGAGAAGATTTAAACTTCAAGACTCTAAGAAACGGAAAGGGAGGTGAATATTTTTTGCTGTTTTTAAAATTAAATAGGCTGCTAGTATTGTTTTTAAAATTATTATGAAGAACAAGTTTAAGCTTTGTTGTAACGTTCACTGTTTGCCTGGACTGCTCAAGAACTGAATGCTTGTGTAGGAGTAACTCTTTAAGTTGGCTTGCTTAAATACCTTCATGCTGTTTCACATCTGATACTCCTTGATGAAACATAGGAGCCCTGTCTTATAACAGGCTTACTCAAAGGGTACGTCTATGCTTACCCGCTGGTTCGGTGGCAAGCAGTCGATCTTCTGGGATCGATTTATCGCGTCTTGTCTAGACGCGATAAATCGATCCCGGAAGTGCTTGCCGTCGACGCCGGTAATCCTGCTCTGCGAGAGGAGTAGGCGGAGTCGATGGGGGAGCCTGCCTGCCGCGTGTGGACCCGCGATAAGTACCTTTAAGTTCGAACTAAGATACTTCGACTTCAGCTACGTTATTCACGTAGCTGAAGTTGCATATCTTAGTTCGAACGGGGGCTTAGTGTGGACCAGCCCATAGTGATACAAGCTACGAAAGTGAGATCTTGGAAGAGTGTTGCCGTTTTCATAATGTAATAAAAATATTGTAATGATAAATAATAATAAATAGTGTGTAATAAATAGTGTGTCATAAAAACAAATTTTATATTTCCAAGATCACTGCTTTTATAATTTATACTCAGGTAAAGGAGAAAAACCCTGGAATATTCATTTTTAAGAGGGGGTTCGCGAGACTTTGATGTGTTAGTGAAAGGGGTTCACAGGCTGTTAAAGTTTGGGAACCACTGATCTAGAACCCTGCAAATCTGCAGATATCTGCGGATCACATACGGATACAAATTTTGTATCTGTGTAGGGCTCTACCTATATGAAGATACAGTGTATCCTCCCAATGGGAATGCCTTGACTGTCATGGAGATAGTCCATCTGTGGCTTTTCCTGTGTAGGGCAACCTTTTGCCAGACAGAAGGAAAGAGCTTTAAGGACTGGAAAAGAACATGTAGGAGAGAAAATAATGAATCTTTCATATTGCCAGCAGAAATTTGAACTCTAGTGTATTACACATTTGCTATTCCTGACTGCGCTTCTTTGAAACATGCTAGTAGAGAGACCACCTTTCAGACCTCACTTCACCCCCAAAGGCCAGGTGGCACAATGAATGCATTGCCCTAATTTAGGAAATCCTGGATTCAGCTTCTTTCACTCAGCCTTCCTGAACAATTCATTACACCCAGTCATTCATTACAGAACGCTATACTTTAAATTGTCCTAGGAATACTGGGTCTCCTCAAATTACCATATAAAGTAATTTACATCGTAGAAAAATATATATTTTTCCAATGCCAGTTCCACCCATTTTCTGGAGAAAAGGAGCAGAACATGACATACCATTGTACTAGGCAGTACTGAAAGAATTCTGAGGAGCAGCATTCATTGTCTGTAATGATTAAGATGATTATGGATAGTAGCCATATTGCCAGAGTTCACTAGCTAAGCAGGGATATGTCTTTGCAGTACTTGAATGGGAGATATCCAAAAAATGCCAGGGTGTGACAGGAAGCAATACTGATGATTCATTACGTGACTCTCTTGCCCGGAATTAGCACCGAACCAATTCCTCAGCATGATGTTTGGAGATGTTATCTTTCACATTTGATGTAAAACTAAACTTGCAGATTACTCTCAAAGACTCTAAATTATTTTTCATCAGAGCAAGGTGTCCTAGTCAGATTCCAATAAATAACTGCTTTAATAACCTTGAAGTTTCTATAGGATGCTTCACTGCCTGTCCTAAACAATAGTATGGAGTTGTTCTGTTCTGTTAAAAAGCTACCACCCTTTACTCCAGATATGGCTGCACTGCAGTGGTGATGCAAGCAAAATATATTTAGTTTGTGAAGTGCTTTCAGAGTTTTCTGAGTTCAAGACAAAAGGTGCTACAGAAACAAGATATTTTGAACTTGCAGTTCTGTATAGGTGACCAAACCCAAACATACCAGCACTGGCTAATTACACATTATAGAGAAAGAGGTTACTTGAGCACAGGATGAAAAATTAAAAAGGTGCTGAGTGAGAATTCAGGTTCCAAAGCCAGAGAGTGATTATTTTGGATTGCAATGCCCTACCTTCAGTGACTGTGTGTGTCGAATGTTGCTGTGACTATTTCCCACCCTTCAAATTTCATGTTCCTTGTCTCATTCACATTAATTCAATTGCAAGACAAGGAATGAAAATTTGGATTTGGCTCATGTCTTGCTCCTCTCGCGCTTTTACACCCAGGTTATTTTTATCCCTTCATGAGAAAACTGCAACCAGATTGTTTTAATGGGATCCGCCGCATAACATGACAGCATCTCATCAGCCTTGAGAAAGCAGGTGTGCATCACACAGACTTTTACCAAAATAAACCCACAGGAACCAATACCAGTTAAATAACTCCACTCAGATTTTCATCATACAGTGCAGTAAGAGAATCAAGGTATTAGCCTTTAGAGTACTGAAGGCAAGTAGTCTTTAAATTGCATTGAGCTAAAGATGAGTGAACATGTTCTCAGTTCCTTTCTCCTCCCTTCCACCCCACCCTAACCTCTTCCCAGTCATTGATCGCTTTTTTCCTCTTCAGAAAGTACAAAAAACTGTCTGCATTCCCCTCTGCTGTAAGTTTTCTTGTTCATGTCCAATACTTACTCTGGAGCATCACTAGTTCTCTCCCCAGTCTTGTAAACCCTCCTAAACCTCAGTGCTGGGATGTAAATAGCGGTTAAAAAAAGTAACCATGTAACCAATTAAAAATTTATCGGTTAAACGTTTAACCAGGAAACAAGGAGTGCGGGGGGGTGCTGTAGCACCCCCATGTTTTATGCAGCCCCCCCATCCCTCCTGACTGCCAGGCCCCGGGACAGCAGTGGAATCCTGGGCTCGGGACAGCAGTGGAGTTTAATTGTTAAGCGAAACTGATAAGACTGATGCTTATCAGTTAACGGTTAAACTTTTACATCCCTAATCAGTGCCCAACTCAACAGTTAATTCAAGAACCAACAGCAAGGAGGCAGGCTGCCTGGGAACTTATTAGGTAAGTTTCCTTCTATAGACTAGGTTTAGATTTACCCCAAGAAAAAGTTCTGAATTGCCTTGTCTACCAGCTAATGGAAATCTTTCTTCATCCCTATGAGAGCAACCACTATATTACCTGATAGAAAATTCTGAGAGAGTCTGTTTTCCAGGCATTAAGGCTAGAAGGCTACATATTCTACAACACTGTCAGCAAAGCAGTTTCTACACCAATTAAACATACTACTTAGTACTGACAACCCATGTTTCCATCTTCAAGGTCATGAAACCAAAAGCTTTCAAGCTGCCTTCTGGAAATCCTGATATTGGTTTTAAAGCTCTAACAAAACAAACAAACTAGTGAGATAACCTAGCTAAAAGTTTTCCAGCTAGAAGAATACCATAAAAGACATCACTACTCTCCTCTGCACATAAGGTCTTATTTTACCCAGATTAACGTTCAGCACTGAATCAACACAACATATTTGTCATATTTCATGAACCTTACAATGCACTGTTTTTGGGCCACATACCAGATTTGGTACATGCCAAAGAAATAAAGTAGACTCTTTGTGCAAGCTTCCCAGACAGCACCAATGTATACTTTAATGTTGACCTGCTGCACTCCTAGGAAGTCTAGTCCTAGAGCCTTACAGAGACTACTAATGCACTTCATTCTTGACCTTCAATTCTGTACAGCTGGTCTTGTTAGATTTGAAGTGAGGTCTTCAAAAGTGAAAGCCTCATATAATAATCCCTACCACTCAGGCTCTCTGAAGATATTCTACTACAAACAAATGTGTCACTGATGGCAAGTTTCAACAAAATGGAGAGTCATGATTTGTTACATAGGACTTCATGACTTTCTGTTGCAACAAAGCAGTTTCTTTCACTCTTGTCTGACCCTGTTCCCCCTGTAACTAATAGACCTCAGAGGATTCAGAACTACCTGATTTCTCCCAGTAGTATGCCATATGCTTAAAACAAACACCTAGTGAAATAATATATTTGCTGCGTATGAAGTCCAAGACACACAAGGCCAGTTTTAAATGGATGCCTGATACATAAGAGGTTAATAAAACAAAGTTGTGAAGCACATAGTAAATCTATTGCATTAATTCAACAGATCTATTCCTTTCATAGGTATAGTTACTATTATATATTATGTACCAAAACAGAGCATTCTATTAAACATAATGCAAATGAAATGAAAAACTCTCAAAATGATAGAACTTCAGAGAACGCGAGTGTGTGAGAAGTTACATGTTTAACAAGTTTTGATTGTAAAAGAGTTATGCTTGACTGCCCTCTTCAGGCCAAGTTTGTGTCAAAAGCACCTAACGTGTTTTGGTTTTTACCTTTTCTGATTGCAACTACAGTTTAATGTCAGTAAAGTAACTCCAAAAAGTATGCTGAACACTGCAGAGAAAATCTACTCTGTTTTGAAATAAAAAGACAATCTGTTGCCTATGTTGCAAACAAACCAAGATCTAAAAATCCAGCCACATTCTGCCTCATATGCTATCATCGGTAATAAAGATCTTGCAATCAGATTTTAGCCAGAATTTTGCTGATCATGTGGCAGAAGAGGTCCATCTTGCTCTCTAATAGCTGTATTGGTTTTGTAAGGCCTACTGCATGTGGGTCAGTAAAGTAAAATTATTTACTTTTTTATGCTTAATATAATTGGAAATTTCTTCCCTTTCCCATCTTTCCACCTAAAGTGTCTGTTCTTTATTATAGCTATGTTCTTCATACCCTTACTCCCTCTTTTCCCCTTCCCAGAACGCCTGTAGAGAAACCTACCCTACAACTAACAATTAAGATAAGGGTTCAAAACTAGTAATTTCCTGGCAGGAATTTTCAAAATGCACAAGCCAGAGAAGGATAGAGAAAACCAACAGCGTTATAGTCAGCGATAAATTACTGGATCAGTGCAATTCCTGAAATCACACACAACACAAATCAAGCTCTGGTGTCAAAATCATCACATTCGATGTTGAGTCAGCTAGAATAGCAATATTGTTTCTTTTGAATACAAAGCAGGAGCAGCCAAACTTTGCCCATCAGAGGCAGCTAGAGAGAAGCCCAAGAATGGCTCCTAATTTGATTTAAATGGAACTAAGTCTGTCATTCTTCATCTTCACTAAAATGCACCCTGTGGAGGCTACAGGTCTAAGCATAGAATGTTTCACCTTGATCAGAGGAGCCTAGCAGCTCAGATCAAGATGGAGCATTGATAGCTGCAATATTCCCATGGGCCACACTCCCTGTGAATTTAAGCATGGGCAACATTGTAGAATGCCATGGGCAAACAGTTGTCCTCTCAACTTAAAGAAGCTAGACAGTCCATCTCCTATCAAAACAGGGTAAGACATACTCCACCTATGTAAGACTCAGGCATTGTAGCATTTATATTGGGACTACCAAGAGTTCTGAGCCCCACTTTCTCTTTAAAGACATTTTATCCTACACACGCCACTCTCCAATGCACTCAGAGAAACAGCATGATGCCTACCTATCTCTGGGAACATCCAGTGCTGTGTTGTAGTCAGGTGGCCCCCCAGGCAGCATGTTGAACAGCAGGTGGTTTGTGCCTCGATCCCACCTAAAGAGAAGAAATAATTAAAGCCAATTTGAGAGCTGTTCCCTGAGACATGGATGCCAGACTCTCCCAAATTCTGATCTCAGCTCTGACCAGGGCTCACTGCAGAACTTTTCCCATCACTAACTTTATCCTCGCCAGCTCTAACTTTATGATTCACAAAGTAAGGTTTCTGTAGGTACCTGGATAACTGTGCCAAGGCTTGAGCAGTTTCCTTGATGCGGAGCGTGTTCTGGTTCAGCACATCTATGGACGGCACAAAGAGGCAGGCCCGGTTGACATCATCTGTGTAGAAGTCACTGTCAGAGATAGCAGTCAGCAGCTCGTTGTACTCCCGAGAGATAGTGTTGCTAACCAGCATCCCATACTCATCCACGTATTTCTTCAGTGAATAGATATAGACCTTGATCTTGTTTTTGGGGTTGAAGCCACACCGATAGACATCAAAGCAGGTGTGCATCCTACAGCTAAGGTCTCCCCGTTCTGGGATGGGGCTGTCAGCAGGAAGCTTGATTACAGGCACATCATGGACACTGCGCTTCTCCACTGTCCAGTCACTGGATGACTCAATGGAGTGTGGCCAGAACTGGAACATACCTGTGGCAATAAGGCCAAGCAGGACAATGGAAAAGAGTGTGATGTAGTAGATGCGGTGCTTGGTCTTCATTCTTGGGATGAGGGCTGGACCCCGGTTGTTATATTTGGCTGACGCACACATAATGGAACTAGCCACTTCTTCCTCGTGTGTCTAGAGAATGGGGAGACAAATGCACAAGGTAAGAATAGGGACAATTTTAAGTGCGATAGAAGAGACACAGGTATCACAAAGAACAGGAACAGCAGGGCAGAAATATATTCAGCTCCCTTTTGGGAAGGCTCCTTTGCCTCAGAGGATTGCACTGACATTCTTCAGATATTCGGGTCTTCCATTGGAATGTCAGGTGCTGGCTGCCCTCTGTATCAGGGATGACACTTGGAAGCACCAACACGGAAACAGTTACTTGCTGGGACCAACATCCTTATAAAATATTTCAGCCAAACTTAACAACCACAATGTCAGAATAACAAATGGACCTGAGATTTAAAAAAAAATAAAATCAGATAGATAGAAAAAGTCATTATATATGTCCCACCCAGTCCATCTCCCACAGTGTTCCCAATGTACGTTTCCTAGTATTGTGTGCTCAAGGACTAGGGAAAAGTAGTTAAATGTACATTAAGTATATAAACTGAAGGAGCAGGGGAATCTCCAATGCCAAACTCAACCTCATTCAACTCCGATTAATGGGAATGTGTCACTGATACTCTTTATTTGCCCAAAGCTGGGTATCATACAGGACTCGCAATCAAGATGCAGTCACTAATCTAGGGTGGGTTCTAAAAAAAAAAAAAAAGTATACAGTAACCCTGTATAAATACCACCTGTCCATCCTGTGTGGACTAGAAAGATACTAACGTACTTTTTGTAAGAGCAGGTGATTGCCCTGGTGTCCTTGGCAAATGTGCTCTTTCACCCAAGTGCAGCATCAGTTGGTTTTCTCCCACCACTGAAGAGGGACTTCAGTAGTGCCATATGTATATCCTTGTGAAATACTTTGGGATGAAAAGCACAATATCAATATAAAAAATTAACTGTAGCTGGGGACTGATATCATTTTCCAGGACTGATCATGTAGGTTAATTTTTGTGCTTTCAAAATTGTGGTTACTAAACAAGTAAGGGCAGCCAGCATGTCCCTCGGCCCATGCCGCTTCCTGCAGCCCCCATTGGCCTGGAGCAGCGAACCGCAGCCCGTGGGAGTCACGATCGGCCGAACCTGCGGACGCGGCAGGTAAACAAACCGGCCTGACCCACCAGGGGCTCTCTCTGAACAAGCGGCGGCCCTAGTTTGAGAACCACTGCTCTAGAGCATGGCTGATCTAATCATATATTCTTCCTTTTGTGGGAAAGTGTAGAGGGCAATTTTTGAGAACTAAAAGAGAAATTTAATGGGAAAATGTTAGCCAGACAGAAATTATACAAACAACAAACCACCACACCACCACCAAACATGAAGAAATTGAAGAGTAGGTCAAAAACAACAGTTTTTACCAGAGAATGTTGGGACAGAGGTTGTTTGCAACTTGAAGTGATAGCACTTACGCAGTATAGCAAGATGTTTTAGACACCACTTAAGAAGTTCTCAACTTTTAATGCTTCAAGTCAAACTAGGTTCACATTCTGATTTCAATTAAATAGTTTTGCCAGCCTACTGTTGAACATTCAGCAGATAAAAGACTGAAGTCATAGTGTAGACAGGAAAAGAACAGGAATTTCACAGTATTATAGCCCAAGATCTTCTATGTTACTTCTGCCTTTTAATCAAGTTATTCCCTCACTCCCCCCATACATCGCTGGAATCATCTGATTTATCACAGAGATCATACATTTGTGACAGGCTCTTGAGTCACGGAGAAAGACTTTTTTTCCCCCTCAGTCTCAGTTTCAGACAAGGAACTATTTAATTGTTTTTACACACTGCATAATTAATCTCTAGAACGCACTGCCACCAGATAAAGGCAAAGTCCTTAAGAGACTTCAAAAAGGAATTAGACATGTAAAGGATAATAAGAATTAACAGTTACATTAGAAACCATTGAAAAAATTAAGAGGGAATATTAGCCTTTCTGCTTCAGGGCATCAAGGATAAAATATCAATGATTAGGAAGAAGCTTCCCTGATCAACAGGCTATCCCATAACCATCCATGAACAGATCCTTTAATCGAATTTCACTAAGTCTAGACTTCCTAGAGATTACAGGGTTGCTTCCATCTTCCTCTGAAGCAAGTGGTACTTGTCACTACTAGATGGATACCAGTTTAGACAGACCTCTGGTCTGATTCAGCATCGTATCTCCCTCCCATGTTCCTAAAAAACTATGAACCTTGAGTTGAGTGTGGGAATGAGTTTGTGGAGAATTCTGAGATTACAAGTTTATAAAATTATGTTAGAACCCCTTAACACTGAAGTTGTCAAAGAACGGGCCTAGCACTGGTTAGCCCAGAAAGCCTTTGTTAAAACAAAATTTCTCCACAAAAGCACTTCATACCTCAAGACCTCACACAGAGATGCATCCATATAAGAAAAGTTGAGGGAGTGGAATGAAACTTCAGCAATACTGAGACACACTAACAGGAGAATTGAAAGTAAGTGGGTGATAGGTCTTCTTCCTCCCTTCAGTGATTTCACCTGCACCTCACAACGTAAGATTTAAAATCAGTTTCAACCCATATTATTAACAAGGGGTTAAATAGATGTGATTTATGGCCCACCCACATGTAATAAGAAAAAAAAGTCTTTAAAATAGTAGAAAACATGTAAGGGGTTGGACTAGATGGTCTCTTCCAACCCTAATAGTCTATGGCTAGACAACTGCCTTACTTCAGTACAAGTTTTCGGAGGAACACGGCACCTGAGCAGTGAATCCTCCCCTCATGTGATTCCCAGTCAGTTTCTCCCCGTATTGTGTCAGTCGCAGTCCGACACTCCCAGTCACAGATACAGAAATGTTGTAAGGGAACAAGGGGCTGAACGCCTCGTGCTGGCGATGTGCTCCCCGAGCGTGTTCCCCCACCTGCCCGCTGCAGCGCCCGTCAGGATCCCTGCAAGGCCGCCGGACACATCAGTCACCCACCCACCCACCCACCCCTTCCCTGTGACCCGGCCTCCTCCAGCCTGGCTGGAGCTGGCTGCCTCCCTGAGCAGCTCGGCCAGCCCGCCCCGCCCCGCCCGTAACCCCTTGTCCCTCACGGCGGCAGCGGCACAGGCCGCAAGTCTCATCGCCCCCCGCAGCCCCCGCCCCCAGCGCACCCGGCCAGGATCGGCAGGGCCCGGGCCCGGCTCCCCGCACTCCCCGGCCTCACCTCAGCCGGCCGCGGTGCAGGCTCACGGCCTCATGTCAGGCCGAGCGGCCCCGTCCAGCAGCAGGGCTGGGGCGCTGGGCCGGCGTTCGGGGCAGCCGCCGGCGCAGAGCTACCCACCCCGCCGCCGGGCCAGGGCTCAGAGCGCATGCGCGGGAGGGAAGGTTCAACGCGCAAGGCAGCTACTAGCACAGCGACCCAGCGTCTGCAACCTGGGGTGGGTCGGTGCGCATGCGCGGTAAAAGTAGCTCGCTGGCCTCGTGGAGAAGCAGCAGCTGGCTCTGCGTCTGGCCGCGCCTACTCCAGGACCGGGAGGCGGCCCCGACGCACCGCACACTGGCTGCGCTTGGGTTGGACATCGCTGGTGTCGCTGTCTGGCGGCAATTCTGTATGGAGCAAGAGTTGGGGGACAAAGCTGGGGCCAGCGGAGATCGGGGGCACGGGTTGCCAACCCTCCAGGATTGTCCTGGAGTCTCCAGGAATTAAAGATTAATCTTTAATTAAAGATTATGTCATGTGATTAAATCTCCAGGAGTATATCCAACCAAAACTGGCAAACCTATAGGGTGACCAGGTGTCCACTTTCAACTGGATGTAAGGGTCCCTGGCAGCTCCGGTTAGCACTGCTGATCAAACTTTTAACGGCCTGGTTGGTGGTGCTGCGGGTAGGGTGACCAGATCTCCCGATAAAATCGGGACTGTCCTGATATTTAACCCTTTGTCCCGCATCCTGATCAATGTATGATCAGGACACCATTTGTCCCGATATTCAGATAAAGAGGTGAGCGGGAGGGAGGCGCTGACCCCCAGGGGTGCTCCGGGGCTGGAGCACCCACGGGGGGAAATTGCAGCCCCGCCTCGCCTCCTTCTCCCCTTCTAGCCCCAGTGCACTGCGTCCCCACTCCTGTCCCCCTCCAGCACTTCCCGCCGCCTAACAGCTGATTGGCGGCGCTTAGCGCTTTCCAGGAGGGAGGGGGGAGGAGTGAGGATGTGGCGCGCTCAGGGGAGGAGGCGGAGAAGAGTCAGGGCAGGTGCAGGGACTTGGGGGAAGAGGGTGTAATGGGGGCAGGGCGAGGGCGGTGCAGGGGCAGGAAGAGGCAGGGGGTGGGCGAGCACCCACCCAGCAGAGGGGAAGTCGGCACCGTAGGGGTGAGTAGCGGGCGGAGGGTGAAGAGGCGGGCGAGTGAGCGGGCGGGGAGGCGAGTGGTGGGTGGGGGTCTGAGGAGGGACACAACAAGCCAGCGGCAGGCTAGGGATGAGGAAGGGCGTGTTGGGAGGGCTGAGCAGGGAAGGGGCGGGACCTGGGGCAGAGTGGGGGCAGAGCCTGGGAGGAGCAGGGGTGGACTGTGGGCAGGGCTGATGGCACCCCAATGTGTCCCGATATTTTAGTGTGGTGATCTGGTCACCCTAGCTGCGGGGCTAAAACAGGCTAGTCCCTACCTGTCCTGGGGCATCATGCTGTGCCCCAGAAGTGGCCAGCAGGTCCGGCTCCTGGGCGGGGGCAGCCACAGGGCTCCACGTGCTGCCACCGCCCTGAGCACCGGCTCTATACTCCCATTGGCCGGGAACCAGCCAATAGGAGCTGGGGGGCGGTGACTCCAAATCCCTCAGCCCAACCGCTCTGCCTGGATCCCCCTCCTGCACTCCACACCCCTCATCCCCAGCCCCACCCCAGAGTCCGCATCCCCAGCCAGAGCCCTCACCCCCTCCCGCACCCCAACTCCTTGCCCCAGCCCAGAGCCCCTTCCCGCACCCTGAACCCCTCATTTCTGGCCCCACCCCAGAGCCCACACCCCCATTTAGAATCCTCACCCGCTCCCACACCCCAACCCTCTGCCCCAGCCCAGTGAAAGTGATTGAGGGTGGGGGAGAGCGAGCCACTGAGGGAGGGGGAATGTAGTGAGCGGGAGGGGGTGCCTCGGGGCAGGGGGCGGGCTAGGGTGTTTGATTTTGTGCCAATAGAAAGTTAGCAATCCTACAACCCTAGGAATGGCTGGTGGTGGTGGCGGCAGGGATGGGTACATGGCTGGTGGTGGGGATTGGGGGTGGTTGGTGGTGGTAGCAGAGATGGTGATATGGCTGGTGATGGGGGTGGGGATCAAGGGCATGGTTGGTGGTGGAGGCAGGGATCGGGGGCATGGCTGGTGGGGGGATCAGGGCAATGGCTGGTGGGTGAATCGGGGCATGGCTGGTGATGGTGGGGATTGGGGGCATGGCTAGTGGTGGTGGGGATCGAAGGCATGGCTGGTGGGGGTCGGGGATCGGGGGTATGGCTGGTGGGGGATTGGGGGTGTGTCTGGTGGGGGGATCAGGGCAATGGCTGGTGGTGGGGATCGAAGGCATAGCTGGTGGGGGTCAGGGATCGGGGGTATGGCTGGTGGGGGATTGGGGCATGGCTGGTGGGGGTGGGGGATCGATTGTGGGCATGGCTGGTGAGGGTAGTGGGGTTCGGGGGGCACTGCTGGTCCTAGCTGTGGAGAGGATGGTGTGGCTGGTGTTGCCCAGGGCAAGGGTTAGGGAGACACTATTGGTGCCACCTGCTCCAGGCTGTTTAAGACTGCCCGCATAGCTCCAGCTCCACAGGGGACCCCACAGCTACACGTCCAAAATCATTTCCAAGTTCTGTGGTACACTATCAAGTTAAGTCTCACCATTAGGAGAGGATCGTGTCCTGACATGATGACATCATGTTACATCGGGGGTGATGACATTGCAATGGAATGACATCTTTGACATGAGGTCACAGGCCTATGGCATGCAGGTGTTCTGATAAGATGTAACTGAGTTGTGTAATCAGGTGATAACATTGCAATGTACTATGATAACATTCTGGCTCAATGTTGTGTTCCATCACCTTGTTATTTATTTTCCACAAGGTACCAGTGTTATAAATATGGCCACGATCATTCATATGGTTTCTGGGGCTCAGATTGGGTGATCTTCAGCATTAAAAGCTCAAGCCCCTCTCACTAGAGCAAAAGGAGTAACTTCTTTAGCTGTAAGTAAGAAACAGGCTGTAATACACACTGGAGAGTAGGGTTACCATTCGTCCGGATTCTCCCGGACATGTCCGGCTTTTTGAGTTTAAAAATAGCATCCGGGCTCCGGGGGGAATTTGTAAATGTCCGGATTTCCCCCCCCCATGCAGAGCGCGGCACGGCTGACAGGGCAGCCAGCCGGATCGAGCCACTCGCACGGGGCTCCAGCAGCCAGAGCCCCTCCTCTGCTTCCCCCTTCCTCTCCCCTGCAGCTTCAGATCACTCCCCTCCTCTCTCTCCCTCCTTCCCCCTCCCTGCATTTGCAGATCGCCGGCCATTCGCATCGGGCCTCCAGCAGTCTGGAGCTCCTCCTCCTGCTCCTCCTCCCCTGCTGCCCAGTGCGCTGCTCAGCAGCACTCTGCGAGGGCGGGAACCGGGCTATGCGCTCTGTGGGGGAGCGCGGCACCGTGTTGGGCTTTGCGTGGAGCCCGACATGCTGTTCTGAGCGGCACGGTAAGGGGGCCAGGGGGTCGGAGAAGGGGCAGGGGGGTTCTGGAGGGAGCAGTCAAGAGACAAGGAGCAGGGGGAGGGTTGGATGGGTCAGGAGTTCTGGGGTGGGCTGTCAGAGGGCGGGGGTGTGGATAAGGTTTTGGGCAATCGGGACAGATAGGGGCTAGGGTTCTAGGGGGGGCAGTTAGGATGGGGGGGTTTCAGGAGGGGGCAGTCAGAGGACAAGGAGCAGGGGGGTTGGGAGTTCTGGGGGGGCTGTCAGGGGGCAGGGGTGGGGAGAAGGATCGGAGCAGTCAGGGGGCAGGGAGCAGGGGGGTTTAGATGTGTCAGGAGTTCTGGGGAGGGGGTCTGTCAGGGGGCGGGGAGTGGTTGGATGGGGTGTGGGAGTCCCGGGGGTCTGTCAGTGGGTGGGGGTGTAGATAAGGTTTTGGGCAGTCAGGGGACAGGTAGGGGGTAGGGTCCTAGGGGGCAGTTAGGATGGGGGGGGTCTCAGGAGGGGGCAGTCAGGGGACAAGGAGCAGGGAGGCTTTGGTAGGGGGTGGGGTCCTGTGGGGCAGTTAGGGGCAGGGGTTCCAGGAGGGGGCAGTCAGGGGACAAGGAGCGGGGGGGGGTTGGGGGTTTTGAGGGGGGCAGTCAGGGGGCGGGAAGTGGGAGGGGCAGGGGCGGGGTTAGGGCGGAGCTCCCACCGTCCTCTTTTTTGATTGTTGAAGTATGGTAACCCTACTGGAGAGTCTAGTGCATATCTGATCACACACATTAAGCTGGTGCACCTCACTAGGCATTGTGCTTAAACAGAAAAAGATACTCTGATACCTACAAAAAAATTGACAGTGGTTAGGCCACTGGTGTGCTGAGACCACAGCCTATCATGCTGATCAATATTGTCTCATTATTTCCTTGTACACCCCCATCTGTCTTTCAGTATTCATCTGTTAGTCTCTTGTCTTAAACTTAGATTGTAAACCCGTCAGGGCAGGGATTGTCTTTGTTCTGTATTTGTACAGCACCTAGCACAAGGGAGTCCTGGTCCATGTCTGGGGTACTACAATAAAATCAATAATAACTGTCCCACCCCAAAAAACTCACATGGAGTGTGCAGAAACAGCATTGTCACATAATACTCAGATCACAACAGCCATGTTTGTGCCATATACAGAACTGAGAAAAGTGGAAAACCCCAGAAATGGGAGATGTTATTCCTATTATAAGTATCACCTGCACTTTGTGCTTCCAGTGCAGCTGCAAGCCTATTCATGTGCCACCAGAGATGGTATGAAAGGAATTTCCTATCTTCAAGCTGCAACAATTCAAAATCCCATTTCCTCTCTTCCCCTTGGGCATTTTTCCCTTCACTTGCAGTGCAAAAACTGGAGCCAGGAAAACTACATTCTCTTAGGAAGGGGATTCATTTCTTCAGCAGCACTTGCATCCTGCAATCATTTCCTCATCTCCCACTGACGTAGGGAGCAAGAAACCAAGGGAACTGACTAGTGCAGAAGCTCTAAGTAGTTTGTTTTCATTTCTAGCTTCTTTAGAAGCTTCCACCAAGTCTCCTCAAGCACTTCAATTTATAGTGCAAAGAGCCAAAACCCACAAGTGACAAATACCAAGTTCTACTTTGAATGTTGGGGTATTCCTTAGCTCTAAGTGACC